AGATCCACATATTCTCGAATGAGATGTCATGATCTTACTCAAGAATATACGTTCAAGGCACTAAGAAAATTTAACTCAAGTATTTAAGTTTATTGTCACTAAATTGAACGAGTAGAGATATAATTAACCACTTGAATACATCAAGATGGATAATCATCATCCTACAACTTAAGTAGTACAACTAACTTTTGAGCTAAAATAAACTTTCCCTCATCATAAATGAAACTTTTCTTCTTTTTCAATAAGCAAAGATAATTAGATTAATTATGGATGCAAGCAAACAATAGTTTTTTCTTACACCTCTTTCACTTCCACTGCAGCAGCAGCAGCAGCAGCAACACTCACTTCTTTGTTCTCCTTGTTCACAACTTCATTCACATCTTCTTTGACTTCTTCTTTTACTTGTTCTTTCTTGGGCACATCAACCTCAAAAGCTGACACAGGAAAAGTCCTAGAAAGTCCAGATGTAGCCTTGAAATGGATTTTTCCAGTTGGTGGATCATCCACACAGATTTCAGTAAGTGTTAACCACATAAGGAGCTCTTTAGCTTTAACCCCAGTTAAAGTCATTAAGTGAGTCAGATCGAAATTTCTACTCGTTGTATATGTACATCCATATTGAAGAATTCTCATAAACATGGTCTTAACAAGGTGTTGAATAACAAAACATTGCATGTATCGACTCTTTGAACGAGACGCATTATCTTTGAATCCACTCTATTACAAATCCTCTTATTTACATTCTTGTGGAATTAAGTTCTATAATTGTGTCCTTGAATGGGGTTATGACAATGACTCTAGGATTAATACTTTCGACTTGCTTTTCCTAAATTCTCAACAAGGGACTATTTTCGATGAATTCCTTACAGAAACTTTTTATTATTATGGACAACATCAACTCGCTTGTGCCTATACATGCACCGTCGTAAAGTTTACCTATGTGGTTTCAAGTTCCATGTAAAGCATCCCAGTGTTGTGATCCTTCTCGAGTCACTCTTTTCTCACTGGTGTATATGGCTTCTATGATTTGAATAGTAACTCTACCCTCTTGCGAGTATCATCATGAAACCTTTTCACTGTCTAGTAACATGAGAGCATACTCCCACCTCCTATCATATGTGTACATGTCAAATGAAGTGG